AAGAGCTTTGCCAGGCAGCACAGACTGAGTACCCCATGAGGAAGGAAAAAGGGGAAGACTGGTCCTTGAAATTCCCCTGCATCCCTTTCTCAGGCAAGAAGAATGGCCTGCAAAGTCCAGCAGAAATATCCATCACGAGAAGCAGGACTTGGACTTCCCGGGTCCCGATCAGGAATGTGCATCAGCACTGGCACAAGGACTTTGGAGCTGTGCTGGAGTTTGCTGCCCCACTCAGCCTTCAGAGAACACGCTCTGCCCAAAGGAGTAAAATCCTGGAGAGAGAGGCAGTGCTGCTGATTGAACCTGTCCCATTCTTTTCTGAATTTTCAGCACTTCAGCTCAGTCAGACTTGCAAAATCCTTTCCCTTGCTAGATTGCTGGTGTTGTTTTGTAGCCCTGCTGCACAGTGGTTTTGTTAAAGTGTGTCTTTATTTTAAAGGAACACAGAATCTCATATATGTATTTCAAGTCTCATGCCAATTTACTCAGAACATCTTTCATTGGATTGGGGAAGGGCATTCCTCAGCAAAATACAACCCGTAAATGAAAGTAGTTTATTACAATGATCAAATTTAAAATATGTAAATAGCACAAGAGGTTTAAAAATATAATATTTGGATTTGGTACCATAAATTAACTGTTAAAATTTTAGGGAGCTATCTAAGTCAGTGACCATTTAGCAAGTATGAATTATTTGGAAAACTCGAAATCCCTCAAATAAAAGAGATGACAATGAGTTTTGGCTTGAGCTAATAGTAAACCAGTAAGTGCCATTTGATTTTTTTTTTTTTAATAATACAATGAATTACTCACATAATGAAAAAAAATCCCTGTAGAATTTGAAAGCTGAAAATCCATGTTCCAGAAAGACCCCTGCCCACAGCACCCTAAACCTCCAGTTTCATACTGATGTGCATGCGGACTGTCCCACATTTCCACCCTGGATTGCCTGTTCCTCCTCTGCTCTTTGCACTGAGGCCAGTGCTTGTCTTACCACAGCCTGGTCACACAAGCACTAGTGCAAAGGAGGAGATGGAGAAGGATGTGGCTGGAGCAGGGACAAATTCCCCTGTGAAACCAGAGCTTGAGCCATACAGGCCATTGGACCCCGTGACTTCTGGATGGAAAAAACCCAACCCAACCCAAAACCCACACTCCTTAAGCAGTTTAGGTATTAATGAATTTTTTACCCCATTTCTAAAATTTATGCAACTACTCTAAAGTATTAGCATATTACTCCTTTTGGCAGGATTCCTTCAGCTTAACACAATAGAAAAATATATTCCTAATTACCTTGCAACCTCATTATAAAATCAATCTCCATAAGCATGAATGCAGCGGTACATCAGACCACACGAGTATAGAAATATTGCTTCAGTGCAGCTTAGAAACTATTGTAGCAGGTTTATATTTGGTTTTGTATTCAGCTCTGAAATTGTCACTTTGATGCAAAAAGATTTGTCTAAGTGAGAGTTCAGCGTGAGCACATATTATAAAGTTGGTTATTTGAAAGACATCCAGAAGACTTGGGAAATATATTTGCTTTACTGGGAAATAAATGTACCTAATAAAAAAAGTTCCTGCCTTACCTTACTCACAGTGCAATTGTAATTAGCACAAAGCACGCATAAGCATGTGCCAAACACCAATCACCTCCCTACAAGCCATTCCAGAGGGCTGGCTTTATTGGCAGGCTGCTGATGTGCACTGCTTTGCAGAATTAAAGACAAGCAATCAAATATTGTGTTGCACAAATGTAATTGCTACTACAGCAGTCCTGGGTGTTATGGACAATGCCAATTCCTTGAGCTATGAGACCTCTTTGAACACGGACGTTTTTAAACTATCTACTGAAAAGAGTTTTAAAAAGATTTGTTGCCTTGGCACTAAGAGCAGAGCTGGCCCAAGTGAGCAGATGCTGCTGCAGAGCAGTGATTCTTGTTGTGAAGGGACTTTTCAATGCCAATGGAAGATCTGCTGCAACAAACTGGATGTGGCTGTTTACACAGATGTGGAGCAGAGAGCCAGGCCCATCCTTTGTCATTTGTTTTACTGCCTGAAAAGTTCTTGTAGGGCTATAAGTTCCTGTAGATATATTTACAATTTAATTTTTTCCTTCTAGATGTTTGCAACTCTGATTTAGGCATACAAGTTAAGAGGAGGAGAAATGTCAGCTGAAGACACGTTCTGCTCTCAGTTATGTTGTACAAGCATCACCACATCAATGATATTATCCCACACATCCATCACAAAACGTGGAAGAATGAAACCATAGCACTAGACATTCTGTTTAGTCACCATAATTCAAATACAACCTCATATGAACAAAAGATACATTTTACAGAGGAAAATGCCTTCTAAGAATAGGGAAATTTTTTTCTGAAGAACACCAAATGTGTGAAAACCAATGACTTTTCTGTTAAAAGTTGCCATTTTTCTACATGGTATTTACTGTATGAGAAAAACAGTGTTAAATATCTTTATCTTCCCTGGATTGCAGCCAATTTTAATGACGAATTCTTGTCAACTCAGAAGGAAACAGAAGGAAGATGGTTTCATGTCTTTATCATGTTGAACCAAAGTGAGGCCACAGTTTGGCAACAGAAGCCTGGTTTTATCACTTCCACAGCTGTGACCTTTGCACACAAGGAATAAAGAGATTCATTACCAGAGAATATTCCACATGGAAGAAATTTCCACTCTCATAGCTAAGGCAACTTCTGGCTAAAGTGACAACTAGAAAGGGTAACATCAGACCAGGATTTCCACCATAAGGTACAGATCCAGAAAGTCACATCCTCAAGTCCCTTCTGACTCCATTAACTCTCCAACTACTGTGAACACAGAAAGTGAACTTGCTGCTCTGAATGGCCATTATTTGTCAAACAGCCTAAATCCCCCAGAACGTGAGGTGATAAATGAATCTAATCAGCTGCACATATTCTACAAACATAATGATATATTTTTTTAAGAAGAAAAAAAAAAAAGTATAGCTGCTTTTCCCAGTGAGCACAAATAGATGTTCAATGAAGTGTATCATTTCAAAACAGGACTCCAATGGGCTTCTTCAACTTCATATTGGTACTACATTTCTACAGATGATGGTGATGGCAGTGTTTATATTAACAGAAAAATTTACATCCTAGGCATGACCAGATTTGTTATCTATTTCCCATCCTCTCCTGGGCACAGAACGTTCTTTGTATTTTAGTTATTTCTAAATATTCCACGTTTCATTCAAAATGTGCATTTCTCCTTTAAATACAAGCAAATTTTCTAACTATTTGAGATGCATTTGGTTTTGCTCAGTGCTAAAATGCTATTGGTAATAAAAGTCAGAAGCAAGAAGAAAGAGATGTTTAAATTTGATGTATGTAAAACAATACTAAAATTGATGCAACTGTTTAATGGTCAATCAAAGTTGTAAGATTTGGGATCACTGCCTAAATAAATGAATAACATCTAAAAATGAAGAGCTGATATTTTCTATGTTGAAACTATCTAGATGTAGCCAAATACATGGAAATCTATTAGTGAAGGAAGTGCGAATTGAAGCCAGTAAATCTTATAGAAGGTATTTCTTCTGAAAATGAATTGTTAAAAGTATACCATAATAAATACAAGAAACCATTTCATGTCCATGCCACATATGTCCTGTTTCTTGGCTGTCACTGTGAATCTTCCTTTAGGTAAACAGGTTTCTCTAACACACCTTACAGGAGCACACTTTAGATATCCAGGGATGTGGCTTCGTGTCATCTGGAAAAGAAATGAATTCATCTGGCTTAGCAATTTTACAATTTGAAGTAATAGCAAAGACTTTTTTACTAAAATGTAAGTTATTTTACAACCTCTTCATAGAGTAGCACACACTACGATTTTTGTAATGGAATAAAAACTCTCAGCACCCTCATGTTAGTGTTAAAAAAAGATCTATCTCCAGAGGACTGATAACATTATAACAGGAAGGAATATGGGACCCAAAACAGCACAAGAGAATGTATGGCATTCCTCAAAACTCTCCTCCTGAACAGTCTTCTTCTTCTTCCTTTTTTGATTTAAAGGAAAATGCTCCAGTGGATTGACAGAAAGACAATTTCTGCTTTGAAGTAATAGGGTGGTTATGTTTTTTTTCGGTAAATACAATTGTCAAATTAGATGTATTTTCTTTTAGCAGAAATAATCCTACAATGGCTGTAAACAGAAGTAGTAAGAAGTTCTGTTCATAAGGCATTATATTTTAATCCTGTCAGGGCTTTTTAGAATTCCATAAAAAAGCACTCTCAATTGTCAGTTTTTAACCTTTATGACTTCTTATTTGCTGTATGGTAATATTTACAACCTGAATTTTCAATACTGCTTGCATTAGAAACTGCTCAAACAGATGCGACACCTTTCATCAGTACATGAACATTGAGAAAGCAGTACACACTATTTTTTCCCAGTCTAATGGATATGTTGTAAATTTTTCATATTATCTATATCTTTCCATCTGTGTCACAGGAATAGAGATACACATTTTCTTAGTGTCTATCATGTAGTCTTCTAGTTTTACAGTTTGATTTAGTAATAAAAAACCCCAAATCTGAAAGCAAACAAAAACCCCCCAAACCAACCCAAAACCCTTGAGTCATATTCTAGTAACCCAGAATACTGATGGGATGTGACACTACATCTACTGCAGTGAAATTCTTATGAATTCAAACGTGCCTACATTGGAAATTCCAGAATTTCTCTCTGGAATAATTCCTAGGAACCAACATTTTATGCACAGTCCCTGAGTTCACTGAGCTCCCAGTGGCTGTGACCAGTGGGCTGCCCCTGCATTGCAGCCTCTTCCTGCTCCAGCCCCCCATTCCCAAGGCAGTCCTCATTTACTGCCACCCGCTTTTCATAAGGATGCAAACACAGAAAAAGTAAACCACGCTTTTCTAGGGTGCTTTGTACTTGGAAACTTACAGAATATTTGCTTTTATATTCTGCCTGTGTTCTGATAACAGCCACAGAGGTGACATAGTGCTGATTTAAATAACACTCTTCAGTGGATGGAACTTGGAGCTGGTAAGTGATTATTCGATAATTATAACTTGCCTGATAACAACACAGTCACACTTTAAGTGCTGTATTTTTAGGCACACTGTGGCTAATAAGAATCTGCTGTTCTTCATACATTTTCATTTCTATTTGCTGCAGTTCTGCCCCTCACAGATTGGGTTTCAGGGAAACTCAGAGATCCTACTCATCTCTATCCCAAGGTCTATCTAGGAAAAGCAATTAAGCAAGACTGTGAAAACTGCTCAGATTTTGCTTCTTATCTGTTATGCTCCCAGAATTACATTCAGTCCTGAAAAATGAAAAACTGAAGAGGGAAAAATTTAATATGTGCAATGTTTCTGGAATGAAGGGACCAGCTGATTGCAGCAGAGACTGCCTGGCTACTGAAGGCCAGAAGCACATGGGGGTTTCACCATTTACCTGGTTTCTATCCAAAAGAGAGAAAACGCTCTGTACTTTCCATCTACAGCTTCCCATTCAATCTTCCATTAGGGAGGGTCATTTGCCCCCTATTACCAAGTGAACTAATTCACTTGGTAATATTTCCTACTCTTTCCTACTCCTTGCCTATTTCCTACTCCACTGCAAAAATCTCTGATGGGAGAAATAAAGGGGAAGGGGCATCTATGTCTTCATTGCTTTATGCAATTTCAAATTAAATCCATTTCTCTTTTTCAGAACAGCTGCATGTGCAGAATCCTCCTTAGTGGGACTGCAACACATGTGAAAGGTAAGAAAGACACCTCAAGTTGTGTCTAGTCCTGCTACAACCCTCTTAGATTTTGACTGACAAAATTCAGAGCATTTTCAATCCCCTTAAAACCCATCTCAAGCAACTCCCTTTGGACAAGATGATCTCCCTCTGGAGGTGTGAATTTTCCACCACTGTTTGTACAAGAAAACTCAGGTGAATAGCTCAGACCCAAAAGTCTCTTACACATTCATGTACCCTCACTTTCAGCCTCTTTCTCCATTTCCTTAAATGAGGAACATTTGCCTGATAAAAGAGTAAACTGCTGGGAATATTTATTTATACAAAGAAGCACTTGAAGGGAGGGTGAATTCTTTATGGGGGGTTGATATGATTAAAAGTCAAGTTCTGCAAAAATCTGTTGTAATTCTTATCTGATTATTATGCTCAAGGCCAGAGCAGAAACAAGTTTGAAAAGCCAAGGCTTTGCATGTCAAATAAAAGTGGTCCTCAGCATGTGGGGGAAAATGGCAGTGATAAACCTACTATTAGGCATCTGGGAGAGAAGCCCAGCATCTCCTCTGTGTGGGGGCTACAACAGGCACGAGCCACTATCACAGATAATGGCAGCCTGCAGGCACATGAGGGGAGCAACTAAAATCCATTTCACTTAGACAAGAAACTGCGGTCTGATATTTACCTGTGTCCATCGCACGTGGAAAGTGTTTACTGTGAATTATCCAAGAGAAAAGTGCAGGTTGAGGGGTTTCATTACCTATCTGAGAGTAGTTCAGATCACACACACTGAACACAAGAAATCACAGGCAAATCTTAGGTTGGTGTCTTGGGTAGTCAAATGGATTCCTGCTATTCATCTGAGAATATGCCTTTTCTACAATTGCTGGAGGCCCACATCCAGGGCAGTGAGAAGATGTGAGAACACAAAGAAACCACGAAAGTAAAACAAACACAGCAAGCTTTATGTGATTTCAGAAAATAAAGATCACTTTGAAAATAAAGCTCAGTCTAATGTCAAGGGTAGAGACTGCACCTTTCACCACTGAAAACCACAATGCACAGGCAGAAGCGTAATGGCTGCTCTACAACCTTCCTGGTTCTGGTAGAAGTTGAAATAAAGAACTCTTTCTAGGAACGGTTGGAATTCCTTGCAGGTATATTATTTTCACCTTTTCCTCATCAAAAGGGATAATAAAATAAATATATTTCTTAACATCCCTTTTGCACCTGTGACAACATCTTGTAAGTGAAGTACAAGAGACTCTGAAAAACACATATATAAATTTATTAATAGAAACTTATAAATTAAGTTTTTAAGTCTGCTCAGACTTTGAATATGGGGAAGACTGATTCTAAAGTCACAGGTTTCACCAAACCAAATGCTGACCTCCCAGTCATTCTCAGGTTCCACGATTCAAAGTCAAAGCACCTGAGAAAATCACAGCCAACTGAATGTCATATTATTGTTTCAATGTTTGCTACTAAAAGTAAATGTTAAGCTTTAAGTAAATGTATTGTGTTACCAAATCTTTCCTTTCAAACAAGCACTTCTGTCAGAAGTGTCTTAATTTCTTATCACAGAATTTCATCCGCACAAGGAGCAATAAATAATTCATGTTCCTGGCTCTTTGTTGTGTGTCCCTGAACTGCACAGAGCTGGAAGGCTGACAGCTGTGTCAGGACAAGCACCAAAGATCTGACATGACAAGTGACTAACAAGTTTCTTTCAGTCTATAGTGAAAGAAGACAATGGCATAAAGTGCAAAAACGAAATCCTGAAACAAAATGAAACTGTTTCTTTCTCTTTACCTAAGTGTTTGCTATGAGCTTATTTCCGACCCATAACCTCTGGTCATTTTATAGTACTGCCCAACCCCCTTTACTCCTCACATTCGCCTGGCCATTTACGCCTGTCCACGGATCAATATGAGCAATTCTTGGAGAAATACGATGTCTCCATGACAACCAAGCCACAAATTCTCAGTGGAAAGCAGTGAGACCAGTAGTGAAATCTCCTGAGGTTTTCAGACCTATAAGACAAGATGTCTTAAAATGCAGGAATGGACAGAAACAAAAGCCAGAGTAATTCATTGTTTATTACTAGTTTAATGATGTCAGATGGACCGATTGGAACTCAGTTTTTAAGTTTAGATGCTTTATCAACATGTATTTTTGCCAGTCAATATTCACCTCCTGACAGGCTTTTATTCTTTCCATTACTTCAAATAGATATGCACAATTGGATATACAAGTTTCCATCCAAATGGGTACACTTGGCCAAACAGAACCAATTTTAGGTTAAAATTAATATTCTCTTTAAGGTACATTAATTGTCCCCTGAACACTTTTGTGCCACTTTGCCTTAACACTTTCTCACTTCAGAACTGATCAAATCTTGGACAATCTGCATTTTGGCCCAGAATTATTGCTGAAGGGACTATAGACAGTTGCTGAAGGAGGTGCTATACACCACAGATCGTTGGAGGCAAACTTGGCTCCCTCCTGAGCAGATTATCTATTTCTTTCCAAATCTCATGCTGGTTTCTGCTGGACAACATTGAGTCCAAGTCTATGTGGCTTTAAAATGAATAGAGATTTACAATTCATTGGTTTCAATTATTGTAACATATACTGGTGTTCATTTCTGTGGAAGAGATGAAAAGGGAATGCAGTTCAAATCAGGTATATGACAGCAGTTGAACTCCCAAGGAATCTTGGAAGAGTGGACTGTGCTGAAATATAATCCCCCAGACATGGGTCCTATCTGGGTTCTGAGATGACTTAGGGGACCTGACATGGATTTCAGACTGCACCCTTTGACTGAAAATTAAATCTCAGCAGTGTTCCTTGGGGAAGGATCAGGGGACTGTTGGCAGCTGCCCCCTGTCAGCACAGGCTGCAAGATTTGGAAATCTCTTAACTAAGCTGACAGGCCGCAGAGACGATGAATCAAAAATATGATACACGGATCAGCACACAAAGATGCAGGAGGGTACAGAGAAACCAGATAAAGCAGGGAAGGAAAATACCAAGTGAAAAAAGATGTTTAACTCTTTCACTAATGAGGACTAGGTACAGGTTATGTGTATGGTATAAGTGGGTCAAGCTCACGGTTTTGCTTAAAAGATCTTAGTATTTAGTCGCACAGAATGTTTTTAATCAGCTGTGACTCGATACAATTTATATTTAATTGTTTCCTTTTGGGATTCATTTAATAAATTTTGTAGATGTTCCATAACGAGAAAGATAATGAAACTACATGAAGATAAATCTTTCAGTCACCAAAAAGGATGCACTTTATGGATGTTCCTGTATTTAGCTGAATCAATGTTAAGAGTCATTAAAATGAAATAATGATTGTGAGCTGATTTAAAGGAAAGAATCACGCTATTTAACGCCACCAATTTGCTTTCCTCCAGAGATACAGTGTTTGACTGTCCACTGCAACATTCAGCTGCAGTATATACAGTACTTCTAATTTTTCATAATCTCACGCTACCTTCGAAGGGTCAGACACCGTACATATATTAAGTAAGCAGTGTAGTCCAAAAGTAATTATAATGAACTAGTAGTGTCAGCTTTCTTTTTGGTCATAAAGCCTTTATTCTTTCTAAGACCTGAATTCCTGATGAAAGAGGAAAGGATAACAGCTCCACACTGTGACCCCTGGAGGTGACCATTAATTTGACATTGCAGCTGCTAAAAAGGAAGCAGCGTTACAATGTGCTCTTTGTTTTTTTAGAGACCCAAAAGCTGTGTCAGATTTATCACCTGATACTTGGTGACTGTCTTTAAATGCCTCTCACCTGGACTCTCAGACTCTTCCAAGACACATCTGTCAGGCGTATCCTCCACATCTTGGAAGTTTGCCGAGCTGGAGCTCCTGCCATGTTTCGGCACACTGACTGCAGCAATAAAGAATAGAATCACAGGGAGGGAGAAATGTAATGTATGCAGAAACCAACACTTCCTGATTTTCTGCAGAGAATGCAATGCTGAAGACATAATTTGTAAACACAAATAATAGACTGAAAAAAAAAAATCAACCAGAAACTCAGACTACTTATATGCAACCTATAGGGCAGTTGAAAAATCTATAGACAAGAATTCATGCAGGGTGAAGTTTGAAGCATCAGCTCAAATGAGATTCCTTTGAAGTAGAAAACCGGCTTTTTTTTTTTTCTTCTAGAATCCTAAAATAATAAAGTAATTTAGAAGTCATAAAAAAATGCTTGTATGTTTCACCAAAGAAGCCAGTAAACAACAGAAAAGATCAATTAGGTGGTTTTGTAATTACTGAAGTCATTCACCAGGGACAGCAATGGTGTTCATTTTAAGATGAAAATATGTTGAATGCAACAAGCTGGAATGTGTAAGGAAATTAGTGATAATTCAAAAGTGCAGTAAAAGCCAGACTGAATTATGGTTTAGAGATTACCAAATTTAATCATATGTTCCTCTTAATGCTAAAACCATTTTCATTTCAGAGCAGAAAAAATATTTTCAGGGAAACAATTATTTGTGTATATATGACTTTTTAATTCACTTGGCTTTGAACAAATCCCACATAGTTTTCCTGAGCAGAAGAGACGTATCTCCCTTGCCAATATCCATTTCCCACTCTTCTGCTTCATATCTCTGCATGGAGCCACAAATGCAGCTTAAAGATGAAGTACAATTATTAAACAATATATTGTAGAATAGCACAGTAAAGACTAGATCCCAGTTTTTCTGTCCCATTAGATGATCTTATTTCCCAGGACAAGAGTAGTGACTAGAAAACACTGTGGTTTTTTCTAATATCTAGAAAACTAAGCAGGGTTCCAAGCTTCCCTGTGGAAGTTTGGACATTAATGTGAGATTCCATATTGCAATACTGCAATACCAGCGTACTTTTGTCCTCTTTTCAAAACAGGAAATTTCTTCCCTTCTAAATTTTGATTTTTTTTTTTTTTAATCAAATGAATATTTGCCGAAAGATCACATAATTTAAACATCTATTTAAATTTTCCAAATTTATGAGCGAATCAACAAGGCCTGAGGGCACTCTGCAGACATGAGGGCTCAAAAGACACATATTCCACTCCTGTGCACTGAGCTTTCCATGGGTTTGCAGCTATTGATCCCAGGTCACCAAAAGGTTCCATCATTCTTGACTCCTGCATCTACACAGAGCCTGTTTGAAGCACTCAAGGCTTCAATACAATTGTGGAATTAGATCCTCGAAAATGTAATATTAAAAGATAATAAATAATGAAGTTTATTATAGTGACACCATGCACTTCACATGGAAAAACAAAAAGCCAGTAAATTTTGCTTTAAAG